GAGGCAGAGAGGTCTGCCGCACCATGTAGGTCTCTCCCTGGCCAGCCTGGAATCGCTGAGAATCGAACCCATGCTGCAGAGGCTGTGGACAGCTTCATAGCATGGTGCTCAACCCGCTGCGCCACTGGGGAGGCCCTGTACTTTCCTTTCTTATCCAGAGCTCTCCAGATTGTATAACATCACTGCAAATCCTTTCCTCTACTGAAAAGTATAAGTAGTATGAGAGGCTCGAGACTTATCTTTCATGGAGTAACTATTTGCATTTTTATCTCCTTTCAGATTTTTAGAAATTTCATAATTAACAACACTACCAATTTCAATTATGAAATTCTATATACTTCTTGCCACTGCCTTCTTCCACATGTTCATCAGAATATTTTGGAGTCTTACTATCCTTTCATCAAAATAGCCTATGATATAAAAAATATTCATTTGATTTATACTTTTTCATGCTTTTAAAAAATTATCTTCTCCTATCACAATTTTTATTTATTTTTTTTATTTTTTTAAGATTTATTTATTTATTTATACAGGCACTGGGTACAGTCAGAAGCGCGGGAGGGTGAGAGAATTTACCAGAGCCAGAGCGGGGAACAGAACAGGCAGACCAGCAAAATACACTGCTGAGGGGAGCAGTGGGCGGCAGGAGAGGTTGGCACGCCATGTGGGACCCTCGCTGGTGGCCAGGGATTGAACCGGCACTGCAGAGGCTGCAGGCAGGTTTGCAGCCCAGCGCTCAACTGTTGTGCCACCAGGGGAGGCCAACCTATCACAATTTAAAAAAAAAAAAAAATTACAAATCTAAGTTATGTGATGTCACGACCCCAAAATATATGTATAACCCTTCCCTACTAATGTTAAGTGGAGAGTGAGCATGTGAGAGAAAATAGGTTAACATTTGCTCTATACAGACCATTTGGTTTCACTGAGCTCAATAACAAATTGGATTTAGCACCTATGAAACAACTAAATGGGGAACTTCATTTATTGATGTTTTGGAGTCTTCTCATTTTGGAGTCTTCTTTTGCACATCTGATTACAGCACCATGCTCAAAGCACAGGGTCAAAATATGAAACAAAAGATTACTATGTGAAGATATATAGCATGAAAAAGATAAGGTGTAAAATTACCTTTAAAGTGTAGGATTAGAGAAGTAAATGATGTGGAAGCAGGTCAAAATGAAGAAGTCTCTCTGTTCCATCAGTGCAAAGAAGAAAAATATCAGAAAGAATATTGAATTCTAAGGTACTCTATAAAAATTTACCTTAAGTGGCTGCGGTTGAGTATCTCATGTTTAGCAAATTCTAGGGGATTTTGATCTCCTAGATTAGACAGCCACGGTCAAAGAGTGAGGTGATAAGCTTGTGGCCAACTACTCTGAGGCATCAGCTTTATTTAAAGACCTCAAGGGTCCTCCTTGGTGGTGCTAGGGTTAAAAACAGAGATATCAAGCTATTGGCAGCCACTGCACCACGAGTTCAATCCCCAGCTGGCCAGGGAGCTGACCCTCTCCTGTCTCACCCGCTGCTCCCCTCTGCTCCCCACTCTCCCTGGTGTATCCTCTCACCCCCCATACCTCTGGCCTGTACCCCAGTTCTTGTATGCATAAATAAAATAAATCTTTAAAAAACAAAATAAAGACCGCAAAAATATGTTTGAAAAGGTAGAGGGCAATGCAGAAGAATGGAATTCTTAGGAAGACACACTGCTAAAAAAACTGCTGAGTCCTTCAGCCTTGGTCAAGGTTGTATCCTCTGTTTTTGAGGCTGATATGACTTCCCCTAAGAACTTCAGGAGATCATCCTGGAAGTTTGGCTGATGTCTATAAGTAGTGTGATTTTGAAATAAATGCCCATACATAGATTCATTACACTGAACAAAAAAGAAATCCTAGGACATGCTGCATTCCAAAATTTTCTTACTCAATTTCTTGGAAAAATATTGAAAATAATAAACTATTTGTTTTCAGAGGTATCATTCACAAAACATGATTATTTTCAAAAGACATGAAAAAATGTCCATGTAACTTTTGAAAACTTAAAGGAAATCTTGCATTACCCCATATAATTACTATTTCTTTGATAATTAGGGTACCTGCTTTTCCCCATACAGTTAATGAAAATAGAATTTTGGATTTACTAAATTTTCCATGAAAAAAAAAAATCCTAGGGAAGTTAGCATGGAAAGCCATTCTAATAAAGACTGTGCCACATATAGGAAGATATTTGTCCCTGTCCTTCATTATAAAATCAGGTCACAAATAAATTTGTGGCAGATAAAACAGAAAAGTACAGGATATAGCTAAGGCCTTTAACTATTACAGAAACTATCAATGGTGAAAATACTAAGCAGTTTGTTAAGGTTTTTGGAAAGAGAATGCCATTCCCCCCTTCCGCTTGATTTACCTTCTGGTGCTGGGGCACGAGAATGCTAGCTAAGCATGATGGAGGCTTTCACTATTCCTTTCTATGGTGTCCACCATGCATTTGTTTCAGTTTTGACTCCCATAACCAATTTTAAACACCACTGCTTTTCTAACACTAAAAACATGAAAACCATATTTTGAAATGTTTCTCACAATACATAATCTCTCTATTCTTTTGCTTTGGTCTAATACTTTCATAATGGCCAAAATATATTGTTTCACTGAATTTAATACAATGAAAATCTACATGATGAAGTAAGGAAAATGAGCATTTCTCTTCCCTTTCATTTATCCCATATATGCTCTTTTAGTCTTATTAATGAGGGGGTGAGGGAGCGAGAAAGGGCTGGAGGGAGAAAGAAAGGAAAAAAAGATCAATGCTATTTTAGTTTTGATTGTATTCAGATTATGGTAAGATAAACCAAAAGTATCTTTAGATTAAACATGATGCAGGTTTGTTTCCTCTCACTTAAACAAGTCCAAAGATAGGCAACTTGTGGCTGTTATGAAAGCTACCTAATGGCTTCACTATTTGAAGAAACTTCTTCCTTTATGTCTTGCCATTCTTTTTTTTTTTAAGATTTATTTATTTATTTACACAAGAATCGGGGTACAGGCCAGATGCGCAGGAGGGTGAGAGGATTCACCAGAGACAGAGCAGGGAACAGAACAGGCAGACTGACAAAATACACTGCTGAGGGGAGCAGCGGGTGAGACAAGAGAGGTCTGCCACGCCACATGGGACCCTCGCTGGCAGGCCTGGATCGAACCAGCGCTGCAGAGGCTGCGGACAGCTTCACAGCAAGGCGCTCAACCACCTGCCCCACCAGGGGAGGCCCTGTCTTGCCATTCTTATCATGGTAGGGAGATGATCTATCAATAGGCTATTGTGTTCCTGGCAGGAAGGACAAGGTAAGGGAAGCAAAGAGTTACATATATCAGGAATAAAGATTTTTTTTCCAGAAGTGCCTAGCCAAGTTCTTACATCTCATTACCTCCCCAAATGCAAATGGTCTTGGTAATTGATATATTTTACCTGATCACATGGTCACATCTAATCTATACAGTTCCTCTAGAAAAATGGAAAGGGAAGACTAGATACTGGGCAGACTCACTGCCACAAAAGCCAAGAGTGTCTCATTATGCAATGAATTCCCAACAATGTCAAGGTTAGCTGAAAGATGAAGCAAAATAAAAGTGGAAAAACATCCATTTTAACAACAAAAAGATTATTAGTGACTATGGCAAAAAAAGGTTCAATAAGCAATGCAGTAGAAGTCACAAGGGGTGAGGTGAAGACAGTACTAAGAGATGAACAAGTGAAGGCAATGGTTCTTAAATAAAAACAATTATTAAAATAATTGTATAGCCTGTACTTGTTCTCCAGGGAATTGGGAGGGTTGAAATGAAAGGAATGTTTCTGGATTGTGGTTCTGGTTGCACACATTCATAAATTTACTAAAAAATATTGAATGACACAATGTGTGAATTTTATGATATGTAAATTATACCTCAATGAAAGATAAAAAATAAAAATAATGTTAGTAACCTTTATAGAAATTTGGCTGTGATGGAAATGAGAAATATGTAACATATCTTCCTTTACTGCCAAATCCCAAACACTTGGTTTGATTTCTTATTTTGTTTTATTTTGGCAAGTGTTTATTGGAAGCTAAGTTATTTTGAAGAAATGAGAATCTTACTTCCATCTCTCAGGGAATTAAAAAAAAAAATAAATATAAAACATGACACAGCAAAAATCATGAAGATAAGCAAGGTAAGATTTGAAAAACTTTTCCTTACTTGGTCTGCCATACCTCCCCAAAGACCAAGGAATTTATTACCCTGGTGTTTATTATTTTAAAATGGTATTCAGGACGTCCCTAATAGCACAGGGGTTAAAGACAGCAATATCAAGCTATCACCAGCCACTGCAGCACAAGTTTGATCCCCAGTTGGCCAAGAAGCTGACACACATGGCGCAGCAGACTTCTCTTGACTTGCCTGCTGCTCCCCTCAGCAGTGTATTTCTGTAAATCTGCCTGTTCTGCTTCCCACTCTCTGGTGAATCCTCTCACCCCCACACCTCTGGCTTGCACCCCAATTCTTGTATGCATAAATAAATAAATCTTTAAAAATGGTATGCAGATACAAGCATGTGTCCAGGTTAGATGGAACCTAAAGTTAATAAAATATGATGGCCTTATTAAGAAGAAGAATATAAAATGATATTTTTATAATTAGGTTCGAAAGTGTACAGATTTCTTTTAATGAAAAGAGAACTCACAAGGAATTGCTGGAGACTTAGCAATTCAGATTCATTTCTTTTGAGGTCTCTTTAGACAATTTTCTAGAAATACTTATAAAGAAATGTTTTCTGTGCAAACTGGTTCCGAGAACATTACAACTCTAAGCACTCTTAGAAACCCAGGGACTTGTGCAGGAGCATGACCCTGAAGCTTAAGCTTTATTCCCTTTACAGAGAATAAGCCACTGTGTATATAGAGTGAAAGCAATCAGTATACAGATTTCAGTTGTGGAAAAAAATACATTTTTTTTCTTTTACCCACTTACTTTTTTATTTAAGATTCCCATTCTACTGGAGTACTGAAAACTTCTTCTCTCAACTGTGACTTTATCCTTTTTCTTAGATATAAGTTAAAGTTCCTAGGGAAGGCCTTTCTTGGGAGCTCTGAAAAAATTAAAAAGAATGAGCCATGTGAATATCTAGAGGAAGTTCCCTGTGACACAGACTGTGAAAAAGGTAGTGGTGTTAGGAAACACAAATGCAGGTAAAAGTGGTAGGAGATAGACTTGAAGAGGGGTCCAGGAGCAAGATCATGTGGCCAGGTAAGTATTGCAGGCCTGGATAAAAGTTTGGGGTTAAATTCTCCACAAGCATATGTGTAGGGTAAGCTGCCAGAATTGACTTTTTTTTTTTTTTTTTTACAAATGCACGATTCAAGTTTGATCCTAAGGCATCTCTATCAGAAGGGCATCCACTTCAAAGAGGGCTAACTCAAACCTATCTTGAGTCACATGACTAGATAAGCACCACCCCCACCCCAACACTCCATCCCTCTCCACACAGGGATATACACTGAAGCTCCTTTCGTCTACAGACACTGGTTGATTTAGATGACTGCTCAGCTGGGACTGACACTTTGCTTTCCCTTTTCCTTCTTTTGTCTCTTTTCCTGAACTTTTAATTCACATTCGTATAATCTGAACTCACTAATGAAGACTAAGTCCATGAAACCCAAAAAAACTACTCTCAGCCCCAATAAAAGCTGGACCCCAAGCCTCTGCAAGCTCTGTCTCTACCTACAAGCTCACTGTGGCTCTGGTGAGCTATGTAATTTCCAGATCGTGTAAATAATAAACCTCTATTCTTTCATTGATCCTGATGGTTATTGGTGAAGTGCCTGTCCAGTCATAATATTGATAGGCTGAGAATGACACAAAAACAGTGATGGGGCCTTTAAGACTTTCTCATTTTGTTTCTGCTCCTTAGCTTTGTTGTTTTTTGTAAACAGTGTATATTATAGCGTCACCACTTTTAGGACTGACAGCGTAATTTCTAGGCATACATGCTGAAGTATAACCAGGTCTAATTTGCATCCTAAATTTAATAAAAATGAAATAAAATAAAATATAAAGTGTATAATTTTATTCTTAAAGCTAGCAGTTTATAGCACATGAATTTGATCACAAATATGTTTTTTTAGTTTAGAATACACTCTACTCTACATCAAGCAAACAGGCAATTTCTCCTGTCTTTAATCACATTGTCTGACAGGTGACAGACATATTCTCTAAAAATATAATTAAAAAGTCCCTTAAAAACATTTTTTTAAAAAAGAACATTTTGAGTCAGCGTAGTCAGTGTAGGTGTCACAGACAAATGTACAGATCTTTCAAATGGAAATTGCAAATTCAACTATGTGGGGTTTTCCAAGTTAAATAACTCAACTGGAGAGACAACCAGAATATCAGATAAAATTCTTTGTATGATTAAGTCATGCTGCTCAAAAAATGATAACTATGTCACAACTTACTCTTTTAACTGGCTATTGGAAATTACTTTTTTTTTAAAGATTTATCTTTTTATTTATACAATAGCTGGGGTACAGGTCAGAGGCGCGGAAGGGTGAGAAGATTCACCAGAGACAGAGTGGGAAGCAGAACAGGCAGACAGACTGAAAGCACTGTTGATGGGAGTAGCAGGAGCAACAGGAAAGGTCTACGGCGCCATGTGGGAATCTCCCTGGCTGGCCAGGAATTGAACCCGCGCTGCAAACACTGAGAACTGCTTCACAGGGCTGTGTTCAACCTGCTGCACCACCAGGGAGGCCCTGGAAATTACTTTTACATCATCTATAGTCAGTATCACAATAAACCACTTGTCCTAAGGAAATTTGTCCTAAGGAAATGATCAGACATATAAAGATTTAGATTTAAAGATATCCTAGTATCATATTAGGAAATCTGACAAAATCTAAATATACAATAATAAAACAACAATCAATATATTGTGCTATTTTGAGTATCACAATAGTGAATGTTCAGTAATATTCAATACTCTAAATATCAAATGAAAAAATCAAAGTCTTCTCTAAAACTGTGGTTTTTGCTTTTCCATTCAGATATACCAAGCTGTCAAGTCTGATTCTTCAACAAGCTCATCTTTTCATTTGAAAAATCCAACATATGCCTTTTCCAATGTTACCATTATTAATCTTAATTTCAGGAATACAAACACTACTCATCGATTGACTTTACTTGGGGTTGTTTGAGATACTTGCTTGGTTATTTTTGTCCACAAATATTTCATTTCATTTTAAAACACAGAGAGCTTAGTTAAGAAACCACAGGAATTTCCTGTACCTGTCAAAGCAAAAGTCCTCTTTCCCTCTATATTCATTTGCAGTATAGACATATAACCCAAGAGCATGTCAAGACCTCATAATACTGAATCTATATATTTCCTTCTAATTAAAAAATAGAATTTTCTGTCAATAGCCTACTTTTGAGGGGAAGACATCTTACTCATCAGTTTTATCTTTCCTTATTTTTCCATTTTTCTCCAGTTGTCCAGATGATATTGAAGATAAGAGTTCCATGCCAGCCTCTGGAAATAGTTTAATTTCTGTCAATTCGTTTCAGTCTTATTTTGTCTTCCTCTCTATAGTTAAATGAAATGGAATCACTAAACTTCTGAAATCATAACTAAAATTAACCACTGGTAAATAATGATTTATATTATAAATTCATAATTGAATGATTGCATAAATTAGATTCCTTATATTTCTTAGTTTGCATGTTATTGGTAAAAATATGATTTAGAATTTTTTTCAAATGAGTAGTAAACTGAAAATTCAAAATCTGTGTATGTTTCAAATGTTATTATTAACTTGTCTATATCAATGTCATATGTTCTGGCATTAAATCTGGGAAAGGTAAAATGAAAAGACTTAAAGGTTAAATTATTTAGTAGCACTATCTATAAGAAGTGTACTAAGAAATAAAACAGCAATGAGGTTGTGAACAAATAAATCAACATGATTACTTCATTTTCATGGCTTGGGCAGTACTTCATATAAAGAAGGACCATACTACAGATGTAAGATCTCAGCTCTGTAGATAGCTGTACCACAGTCAGCTAGAAATAGGCATCTGCACCAGAGAGAAGTAGAGAACTTCATTGCAGAATATTTTCCATGTAATGTATGATTTTATTTTTCCAGCAATTGCCCAAATCATAATGAAAGATAGTATAGATTACAATGGAGCTATCTTTCTTTACTTAAGAAACTAGATTTGCCACTCACCAGTTGTTTGACATTTTTACTTCAGTTTTTCATCTGTAAAATGGGTACCAAAAATAATATTCACCTCAAAGAATTTTCTAAAAATTGAATGCATTAATAATGATAATTACTCATCTAGATTTTAATGTGACTCCAAACTTGTGTGCCTTTTGATATATCTCTAACCATGTCTTTGTTTCACTTCCTTAGCTGGTAGCAAAATCATTGAGGTCATGCTTCTCATTTCTCAACTTGGATGAAACATACATTGTGAAAATCAGAACCCACCTTCCAGAATGGTCACCATATTAGTGGGGGAATTAGCTACTCTGAGATCAACTTTGGGCGACAAGAAATAAGAAGCAGTAGGGAGCAGGGCAGATAAGTAACCCTCCTGTCTTTCTTCTGCAGACTATTATGAAGACTTGTTCCCCTCCCTGGCTAGTGTCATATGCTAAGTGAACAAGCCTCCAGAGCCTTCTGTCTCTTCATGGCCGGCTTTGGAGCTTAACTCATTTCCCTTTTTCCCTCACCTTTACTGCACTGGTCTGTCACCTTCCCATTGAAATTTAAGGAATATAATTTTTACTTCAGGTTCCATTTTCTTAAGAAAATACATTTTTCTTAATTCGTTGAGACATTTTTCCTTCTTGGAGATGCTATTTCCACTGTTTTGTTATTCTAATTGGCATAGTAGTATAATGTCCATTTTGTGAATGTCTTTAAGAGCATGCATAGGACTGGGGAGAAACGCCCTTAGGACACAGAAACATCAATTCCAAAGAGCACCTGCACCCCTATGTTTATAGCAGCACTATTTACAATAGCTAAGCTTTGGAAACAACCCAAATGCCCAAAAATAGATGACTGGATCAAGAAGATGTGGTACATATACACCATGGAATATTACTCAGCATTCAAAAAAGATAAACACATGCAATTTGCAGCAACATGGATGGTGCTGGAAGGGATCATGCTCAGCAAAATAAGCCAGAAAGAAAAAGAAAAATACCGGATGGTCTCACTCATAGCAGGAATCTAGAAAACTTAAATAAGGGGCCAGGAAAAAGAATAACTCTAAGAAAGAAAATATCAAAATCAACAAACAACTATGAACCAGAGACACTCTATGGGGGGTGGGGGGAAGGGAAGGGAGGGATTGGGGTCAAAATAAGGGAGTCACAATTGTATGGGGAATATAAAAATAAAAATGTATATATATATTAATTAATTAATTAAAATTAAAAAATCTTAAAAGAAATCCAAATTGGAATCAAAATACTAAAACACCATTCTTTGCAGATTATATATATATATATATATATATATATATATATATATATATATATATATATAATATATATATATATATATATATTATAAGGTTAAAGTTAAAAAAAGAATTTTAAAAATTCTATTTTTGGGCATTTGGGTTGTTTCCCCAAAAATAGATGACTGGATCAAGAAGATGTGGTACATATACACAATGGAATATTACTCAGCAATCAAAAAAGATAAACACATGCAGTTTGCAGCAACATGGATGGAGCTGGAAGGGATCATGCTCGGCAAAATAAATCAGAAAGAAAAAGAAAAATACCAGATGGTCTCACTCATAGCAGGAATTTAGAAAACCTAAATAAGAGACCAGGGAAAAGACTAATCAATACAAAGTAAAAATCAAAATCAACAAGCAATTATAAACCAGAGACACTACGGGGAGGGCGGTGACGGAGGGGTGGGGAAAGGAAGGACTAGAGTCAAAATAAGGGGGGAGGTGCAATTGTATGGGGAATATAACCAAAATGAAAATGCATACATTGTGCAAAGATGAAAAAATATGTAATAATTATATAAAACAAAATATTTAAATATAAAAAAA